GGTGCCACGCCCACATCCGCCTCCTGTCCCGCCCCCCACTTTCATTCAACTTCACCCACCTTCTTATTCTTTGGAAAGCGATGACAGCACACGTTTACAACTAAAGAAAAAATGTGATTTTTTCGCTTATATTTATTTTGATTTCTGATTGAGGGGGCGCATGGCGACGTCTTTATGGGCGTGGCCATGGGGGCGTGGCAGTCGATGTGTTCAAAGCGTTTCCCCTTAAGGATCCGCCCCCAAAACTAACGTCAAGCACTTGCCGTCCTACAAAAAGTGATTTTTTAATGAGTCCGAACGACGTTGCCCTGGCTGAGTATTAAAACTAATTTAACGAATGCACTACGAATTCCCTTTTTGGCACAGATTTTTCGGGGAAATCGGGAGTGGGCTCATTCGGTTGACGTTCCTTAACTTTTTTTCGAGCGAAAGCTCCTCCGAAAGTTCCTCCTTACTTCCCTTTCCGATTCTGCGGCCCCTGGAGTTGCTTTTAGTCTCAGTGCCATTGAGCAAACAAACAGACAGTCAGAGCATGCAAAAAGTGAGTGGGCGTGGCAAAAGGAAGAACAAAAAGTGGAAACGCAATTTTTAAATTTATTTCTGTGCGTGGAGGAAGGCTTTGACTTTCGACAAAGCGAAAGAGTCCAAAAAACAAGAAAAGTTGTTCACCGACTTCCAGGGGAGCACTGAAAAAAATGTTCACTCAATAAACAAAGAAAATATATATATATATAATTTAATGGCTTCAGGTTAAAATGGGAATTATTCGTTTATTTCGGCAAATTATTTAGAACGCTTTTAAAATTTACAATTTCAAATTGCCAAGGTACATTTAGGAAACACTAGGAAATTAACTTATGTTTCTTAAATTTGTTTTAAGAATATGGCAGAAACAAAAGTAATAACAAAATATCTGAAATGTACACCAATCCCATACCCAGAACTTCTTTTTTTGATGAGAAATGTAACAAAGTATTACACATATTGAAAAACAAAAGGAGCAAATTTGTTCCTGTGTTTCCAGCATATTTTTTTTAACGCCACAAATGAAAGCGGAACGAAAACGCATTGAAATCGCAGTGGCACCCACCTGAAATGGCAGCCGGGGAAAAGGGGAGGGTACAGGTGATGGACCCACTGCGGTGTCCAGTGGCAAAACAAAAGGCCAAAGATTGGATATGGGGTATAAAGGGATGAGGATGCAAGGACCCAGCGGAAAAGGACGAGTTCGGGCCCAGCGAAACCTCACACGCTAAATTGCATTTTCAATTGTTGCGGGGCAAAAGGCTAAATTCAGGGGGTTTCGAGTGGAGTGAAGTGGAGGGGGGGGTTCGGTTGCAGCTGGCAGTGACAATTTACTTGTAAAATCAACCGCAACAATTTCAATTGCAGTTGGCCAGCATAAAGGGGGATCGACTTGTGCCCCTTGAACGACTCTCCTCCACCCAAAAACACCCCTTTGTACAGTGGTTCTTTTCAACCGGATTGGAGTTTCCTTTGACCCAAGAAAAGCCATAATGAAATTGAAAAAAGCATTGTACTTCGACCTATAGAAAAATAAAAATAAATTGTATTTTTTAACTGAAAAAAACTGGCTTGTCTTACTTAGTACATAATATGTTCTAGCTTGGATAAAAAATGTGTCATTAAAAAAATAGTATAACTTCTTTTACTTTATATAAAATCTACCTTTCTTCTTTGAACTAACCAATTTAATTTCTTTGGGATAAGAGCAAGACTAATTGTTTATTGTACTAAAATAAGGATGCTTTCTGTGGCATAAAATCTCCTTGGGCAACTCAGGCTAAGTGGGTTGCAACATTTATGTCAAGTGATTTTCTTAATCAAACAAGGTATGCCACTTGAAAAACCGGCTGAGGACAAAATCAATATTTTTGGAAGCTATTCAAAATCCTGTGGTCTACAGCCACTGTACCAGTCGTCATGGTCACGATGTCGTTGTCGTTGTCGTCGTCGTTGTCGTTGTTCCTTCTGTGGCTGTGGTCATTGCTCAGGGCATTGACAACCCAATTGATGCAAATCGATGAGCATTTCCCACCCTCCCACACAATTACAAACTAATGAACTACATGCAATGAGAGCCCCTTTGGCCGATAGGAGCACCCACTTTCCACTTTCCATCCTGCAGCCTTTGGCATTCTGCGGTGTGGAAAGGAGCCTTGACTTGCGGTCTTCGAGATTAGTCCACCGCCAACGACATGCTCCTTCAATCAGCCCCACCGCCCACATAAAGCCCCACACCACCCACCAGAAACCACCCACCAAGAACCACCCACCAAAAACCATCCGCCAAAAACCACCCACGCAAAGTTAAGTGGAGGCTTTGTTAATAGGCACTCCGTTGCCGCCAAATCGCGTTTGCTAATGAATTGCAAAGGGAAATTTTAATGTCGCCTGATTGCCCTGGCATCTCGCATTCTGAATCTCGTAGGAATTGGCCTAGTACAAAGGATAAGTTGGAAATTAGGGCAATTTTAATCAATTACTTGGCTTTCAGTATGTCAGGTGACTCCATAAACCGAGATAAAACTATTTATCATTATTAATTAGCTAACATTAAAGTGAGCTTAAGGGATTTTATCGAAATTTATTTTTAATATTTTGCTTATAATTTTAAGGCTAAAACTATGTGTGAAAAAAAATACCTTTGTATTTCAGCATTTCTAATTCCGAACATTAAACATATTGTGGCAAACTATGTAATGGGAAATTAATAACTCTTGTGGTGTACTCTTATATGTAATTTAAGAAGTACTTTCACAATCATTGATACAATAAATTTGCAAATGCGCTGACTTTAAGTCCGCTTCAAATATCCTAATAAATTATCTTATAGCGATACTTGAACGCCCAATTCGAAATGGAATTGGGAGCGGAAAGTGCGCTCTATACTTTATGGCGTCACTTAATATTTTGCATAAAAACTCGCTTAAAAATTGTTAAATCGCATGGAAAATCGTTGGCACTGAGAAACATGTGCAATCTGCACGAGAGTCCCTGAAAAGCGAACTCGTTCACTCTGCGTCTGTCCTGTGCTGGCATAATTCATGGACCAACATCTTCTGAGTAATTAGGCGTCTGGGAGGAAATCAACTGATGTCTGAGGAATGGGAGCTCGGGTGAGTGGCGAGTAATAAATGGCAAGCTGCTCGGCCTGTGATTAATTACACAGTATTTAGCCAGCTCATCAGCTTCGATGACCAACGCACTTCGCACTTAGTATATCGAAAGTAAATGCCTATATCACGATGGGATATACGGTTAAGCTGTGTATTACATGTATGAATAATTCGGGTCAGAAAACAATAGGTCTCCACTGAAATCTGGAATTCTGCCAGTCAGGCAGCAGGTCCTTGTAGCAGTAAATAAAGCAAAGAAAGCTAAAGGATAATTAAATCGAATGCATGAGCAATGGGTTCAATTCACTGCCAGACATCAATGTTCCCCAAATAAATTGTATGTATAAATCATCAATTTAGCTTTGATTAATAATATACCATCTTAAGACATTACCCAACATATGCATTTTTGTTATTACATTTTAATTCATTTCCTTGAAATAGATTCTTAAAAGCGAGATAATATTTGTAGGCCCTTTGGTGTATGTATTAGTTAACTAAAACCAAATAATATACTAAAGAAGTCCTTTAAGAAACCATCTCAGTCAATTAAAAATTCCACAAATTAAAGCGAAAAACTAAGTCTAAGTGAAATTATTTATCTGGAAGCCTTTCAGGTGGAGTCTCGAGTGAAAACAATACCCGAAAAGTTTGCTTCCACCGTGGTGCACCAGAAATCAGAAACAAGCTCTGACAGCAGCCAGAATGACTTTTGATATGAACTAATTCCGGACTATAATTTCCCTTTGGAAGCCCCATCGCCGGTGTAATCCGATAGTTTTGCCCGGAAAGTGACAACGGCAGAAAGAGCGGGTGAATAATTGATACCGGGACGGTACTGTACTGTAATTGGCGCTTGTTTGCTTGGGACTCGTAATTAGCTGGACGCGTCCATAGCCGACAAACCTCCCCCCCACCCTCCTACCACCATATTCAGACTTAGTTTTCCAGTTTTCCCCGCCCTCCCCACAAAAAAACAACTCCGGGGACTGAAAGAACTGTGAGCGGAACTCGAGCTTCAAGTCATTCATTCACTTTGTCAAACTGAAATTAAAACGGGAAGCGAGCGACGAAAACTTTTTTGGGGCAACAACAACAAAGGCGGGGGCTTTTAGACTCTGAAAGGGGGGCGGTGGGGGCGGTTAGTGGAGGGGGGTGCTTACAGGACTCGAACTAGGACTTGCAGGACGCCACTCACCTAATAAGCCAGCAAAGCGTAAAAATTTTGAAAGTTTTATGGCCGCGCGACACTTGAGGAAACTTGCTAAAAGGCGGGGGAGACGTCACTCATACGCAGCGTTGTACAGAACAGCATAGCACAGAACAGCACAGCACTGAACAGAACGCCGAGTGAAACATTCGGCTCGGCTTTGTTTTGGCATTGTTTTCTGATTTCGCTCGCCGGCTGCCCGAGCGAGTTGAAAGTTGAAAGTTTAATTTGCTAATTGTTAAACAGCTGCAACAGCAACAGCGGCGAACTCGAACTGCAACTGCATCGCAGCTGCATTTTCATAATGAAAAGCGGACAAACGGACGGACAAACGGCGGGGGCAGCTTACAACTTTTCACTCAGCCCTCGGGGCCGGGCTAAAATCCAAACCAAAAACGACAGGCGACAGCTGCCGTCAGCACAGTGGCACGCCCTCTTTTGGGGCGGTTGGGCGTACAGGGGCGTACAGGGGCGTGGCAGAACTGCAGCTGCACTCGCCGCCCTGTCAAGCGTAACGCCTTTTGACAAGTTTTGCGCTGCGAAACTTTTACTTTTCACTCTCTCATTCCTTTTTGGTCAAGTACTTTAAAATTATTATGCACCGCTTCCACTCCGCATCCCGGCGTTTATAGTTTATAGTGCGTACTCACCGTGCGATTGCCCAAATTCTTGACGCGGCAGGTCAGCTTCACCGTCTTGCCGACGAGTCCTGTGATGTTGGTGCCTATGGTCGTGTCGAAGGTCGGTCCTCCGGTTCCGGGCGTCGGCAGGTCCTGCAGGAAGTCGGTGAAGAAGCGCTTGGAGGCGCAGTCCGTGCAGCCTGAAAAAAACGAAAAAGAGGAGCATTAAGTCGGGCTTAAAGTATACCAAATGGAGGGGAACAAATTAACTCAACTCACAAAAAAAACTCTATTAATCTGCATTTAATTTATAAAAGGCTGCAGACATAATATATATTCGAAAAATAAAACAGAATATTAAATTACAAATATTTTTTTGAAAAGATACGATGATTTTTGGCGATATAATCAAACCAAATTGTTAGAAAATAAATCACAAATAAAATCTTTGGAAGGTAAAAGAACACAACAAAATTTTGTATATTTTTGCAAATATCAACTTTGGACAGATGATTTTGAAAAGTACTTATTAAATAATAATAAGATTTGAGGGAAAATATTTGTGTAATAAAATATTGTGTGATAGAAAAAAGTCAACTCTGTATTGATATGTGGGCTTCAGGGCTGACTAGTCTATAATTAACTAAGCCGAGTACCACAATAATGGTAATAACTACCTGCTGATGGACATGACAACCATGACAGGCTTATGTCGAAAAGTACGAAGAGCCCCCACTTTTCCGAATCCCAGCCCTCAAATGACTCGCAATGGCAGGTGGGCGTGGCCGTTGAATGGGCGGAAAATGGCTTTGTTATCGGATTCTATTCCTCTTCAATGCTTTTGCGGGGCACACCTCTTGTGGCTCAGACATTTTTCCTGGAAATGCATTCGTGTTGCTGTCGTGTCTCAAGTAATAATTTAAAAATTAGTACAATCGAGGCCCCCGACCAAAAGCCTTTGAGCTCGCCTCTGCTCCAAAAAACCCCGGGGGCATTGAAAAATGCACTTAACAAGTGTTGTAAGTGCCCCACATGTCAGTGTGTGTGTGTGAGTATGGAGTGTGTGTTTGGGAGTAGGTGTGGGTGTGGGTGTGGGTATGGGTGTGTAATGCCTAGCCAGGGCCATTTGTTGACAGCGTCATGTGGCGTTAATTGCCACTTTACAACGAGTGGCAATTTGGAGCCGATCGAAAGCCGGCTCCATCTACACACTCGCACTCCCCCACTCACACACACATACACACACACATAAGCAGAATCGCCAGGACCAACATATGTATATATATATATATATAGCATTTATATAAGCAAAAACACAAACGAACATGTATGTTTATATATGGACACGCGCAAAAAAGCTATCACTTTCTTATTGCCATATTCATTTCACCAAAAACGCTGGATCTTATTATCAAAATTAAATTAAAGATTACTTTATTTGTGTTTCAATGGCAGTGAAACAATATTTAGAATTTCTAAAGTAAATATCAAATATCATGCTGGATATTATTTGAATTAATTTACTATATTTATATTTTTCGAATCATTATGTTCAAAAAGTTGGATACCAACTTATAATTTTGCGATGTTATAATATATTGTTATTTATATATTCTAAAAGATATCTTGTAATTGATATTTTATAAAGACATATTCAGCAAACTACTTAAATCATTCTTCAAATGCCATAAGTTTAAATTAATCCAACATAACACAGTCTTTTATTTAATGCTACTGCAAGATACATATCACTAACGACTAGTGTTTTTTTACTGTGTAGCTCGAAAGCACATATACAAGCTGGCAAGTACACAGCTGTTGCTCCTCCTTCCGTGAATTTTCCCACCGCTTTTCCCCCGAAGGGAAGTGCAACAAGGAATGGGAAAAAGGAAACAAAAAAGCGGAAAAGTAAAAGGGGCCAGAGCAAACAGCAGCGAAAGGCGAAAATTACTTAATGAAAATGGCTCCGAAAGGCAATTAATTAAATGATAAACGCCCATATTATATGCCCAGTAGCTTGTTTGTTGTTCTGTAAGCAGTTTATGTTACACGCCGTACTCCTCGGTGCGAGTATTCTCCGAATATTCTCCGATAACTGCCCGGGGAAGCAAATTGGGGCCCGAGTGCCGCTGGCCAGATAAGTTTCGCCCCGCAACACTTTGCCAGCTTTCTTTCCACAAACAAATAACTAGCGCACATCCTGCCACCTGACCATTTCCCAAATGCCACCTGCAACCTGAAACCAGACACCGGCAACACGCACTGTGCAATGTGCAATCTGCAATGTGCAACTCGCAATGTGCAACCTGCAACCTGCAACCTGCAACAGACATGACTGCGCACTGGCTGTCAGCAGATTAGCTGAAGTCGGGAGCATTTTGCAAACATCTCCGACAGACGAAATGCAAAAATAGAGAAAATAAACGGCCAAGTGCCATACGAAAAATCGCTTTGTATGAGTATAAAGCAATATTTTTAAGTCTCTAGAAAAATAATAATTAACGACTGTTATGCACTTGGCTTTTAACAAAGATATACAATTTACCGATAATTTTAAAGGCCCATCATTTGAAAATCTTAAGGAAATCATCAAGAAGCTTCTTAAACTTTTTTAAATTTAAAAGTATTTCTGTTTCCTTAAAGATAAACAAAATGTTATACTCCTGATGAAATATAACAAGGTAAATTAAACATTTTTTAAATAAATAACTATTTCTTAGCAAAGATTAGAGAAAATCTGTTTATTGGAGCTAACCAAATTATACAAGTAAAATTTTTGCTGTGATACTTTAGGTAATATAAGACGAATTCGAAAGTATTTTATTAGGAGAAAGCTTAAGTATTTACCATTATTAAGTTATGAGTATTCATATCACTTAAGACTTAAGATTTACATCACCTAAACTTTATTATTAAGCTTTAAATGAAACTTAAAAAAAAATCCATTTGTGTTTCATTGGAAATTAATCTTTTTGGATATCTTTTGAAACACTGCGTTCAAGGGTGGACTTAATTCTGAGCATTTGATTAGTTTAGGACGAATCGCAACCATAAGACATATTTGCGTAGGCTAGTCTCAACTTTTGTTTGCTAAAATCAGATAATTAAATGTAAAACTAAGAATCTCATATGTAAGTGTGTGACAGACAGAGAAAAAACCCAGATGAAAGGACACGAAACGGTGGAAAACGGTTGCCCAAAATGGCAGCGACATTTGCTAAGTGTTAAGTGCCATTTTTGGCATCCATGATCTCTGAGCCAGTGGCACTTTTCTATTTTTGTGGTGGGTGGGGGGTTTTTCCAGCTTGTAGCTAGGTGTCGCAGATACGAGAGCGCTTTTGCGCGACGATTACACCGACGATTATGCTGATGAGCAAGTGGGTGGGAGGGGGTTTCGGGTGGGTGGCGAATTTGCAGGGGTAGGCTGCCCAAGGTCTTTGGTGGCTGCAAGCCAATTAAAGGCGAACCGTCAGTCCTCTGGGGCGACACGCCCACACTCACGCCTGTGATCCTGGAAGCCCTTGGCTGTCGTCAGCTGATTTATGGCCGCCATTCACATGCACGCATCCTTCTCACACCCACACACTCACACCCTCAAACAGCATACACCCAACACCCAACACCAGTGATGTAGGTTACCTCTCAGTACATATTCAGTACTCTTAACTTACCCAGATTAAAAATATAAGGTTTTATCTAGTTTGATACGGAGTTTTGTAGTAGTTGTTATTTGCATTTAATAAATTACAAATTAAATACATTTTTTAATAGTAAATAGCCTTTAATATTTGACATAGTCAATCATTTATTTTATATGATTTATTTTGTATCTCCCTTAAATTCAAAGAAATAACAATAATAAATAATAAATACCTTTAAAAATTAATAAATATTCTCAATGTTAGCTAGGCACATATATCGGAATCTTGTATTATAATTTTCTTTTATTTCCCTTTATTGCAAACAAGGATTTATTTTTTGGAATTACAAATAACTTAAGAAATACAAGTACCCTTAAGAAATACAAGTACAAGTACCCTGAAATATCTGCACCATATCTATGTGTCGCGAGCACTTTGGCTTACTTAGGTGAAAAAGTGAAAGCACCCTGGCCACGGGCAAACCCCCTCCCCCTCCACCACCCTCCCATCATGACACGTCCTCGTTTTCGGTTTACAACTTTGCCAGAAAGAATTATGTTATGCAAACACAAACACTTACGCACATGGCCCTGTTATCCTGACTGCTGTTATTTGTTCAGCGTTTTATGCACTCGCTGCGGCGCCTCAAACTCTCGCTCCTCCTGCGTAATTGAAGTTCATAATTTTTTTATTAAACACACATATTCCGGCTGACAGGGAGGCGGAGGGAATCACATGTCCCCTGTCCTTTGTCTTCTGCATTTTTATGCTTTTTTTACACACGCCCCCACCTCGAAAACATACTGGGATCCAACGACTTGTCCCGCTGTGCGTGATAATGTTTTGAGCATGCCATTCGAGGAGCAGCCAAGGCATCGTTAAGTTGTCAATTGCCAGGATAACAAAAGCGATGGCACGGCGTCCCTCGAACCGCCTTTATGTCCGCTGACAGTTGAGCAACTTGATTAAGGCGCCACTTCCTTAGGCACATGGATTTTTCTAACATTCCCATGGAGATTTTTCGCTACCCAACCGCCCAAAAAATATTTAAGCATATATTTATGTTTCCAATAACACAATCGATACAAATTTGACATGCTCACATGTTGTGAAGCCCAGTTAACAAGTAGCCTCATGTATTTTGAATTATAATAACAGGAAATTAAGAATTAATTTTTAACATGAAATTTTATCTTTCGCAGAACATTTTAATACTTACAAAATAGACAAAATGGTTTTTGAGATACCTCAATATATTTGAAAAGTTTTAATTGGGATGACCAATCATAAAATACATTTTTTAAAATAATAATCAGGCTTATTCCCATGTGATGGTAATGTTAAAATGCAAACCCATAAAAAGCTCAACTTCAGCAAAGATCAGCAATTATTCGCCAGTCAAACTACTGGCGGAAATATTGAAAAACATTTTTCGCTTGGCCCTAAAAACTTTTTCCCATCTGCAAATGAAAAAGCGCGAAACTCGACGATTACTTATAGTACCTCTATCAGATTTATTTATCAAATTATTATTTGTAATTTCTTTATTTGTGAAGCCC